CATTTTGTTTTGTGCAGCTGATTATTCGTTGCACTTTGGCAAATTTGCGTGTGGCTCTAAATTGCACCTCAGGAAAGAAAGCATGTGTTTCAGCATGCGTCGTTAAATCGTCTGCTGCTGTCAAGTTGCCTGTACCGCATGTCATATTCTCTGCTGCTGTTTACCTTATTCCACCCATCATCGCCATCTACCTCACGCCAGGGGATTTAGAGCTCTCTTAAAAAAAGAATCTGACTTCGGATAGATCAGATAAAGTTTCCGGCGCTGCATTTCTCCACAACAAACCAAACTTGCTCGGATATTATTTCATTCCTCTTTCCTTTATAACGCTGACTTGACATGTTTTCTACCCCCATTCCGTGATTTGATGTTTGTGTGTGATGCTACGGTACAGTAAGTTTATGGATTGTACTGAATAATCAGGTTACTTCCAATTTTTTTTTCTTTGTTTTTTTTTTTTTTTTGGTCAAGTAAGACCTCAAGCAATGTCATAATAAAAATAAAGGAAATGTCTTTCTGTGAGACAAGCGAAACAGAAAGAGAAACTCTAAGTCTTTTATTTTGTCTAGAGCTAAAGAAATATGAAACACTTTTTAAAATAAAGTGTTCAGATTTTTATAGTTACTCTTATTGAAACACTCATTCGTGCTGACAATAATACAAAGTACTATTGTGTCCGACAGCAAGGGAAAAATCCCAACAAGGATTGTTGCTATTAATGCAGATTCTATATGTTTAATCTTCTCTGTGTTAAACATTTCTAATTCACAAGTCCAAGTACCCTAACCCTACCATTAGCACATATTTTTGCACACTTGTGAAGGCAGACACTGCATCCTCCTCAGTTTGCTGACACGATCCTGTTTCCACTTTGTGTGCATGTCAGGTTTGCACATTGCTGTTGAGTTTGCACCTGGCTTTGTACATGCAAAACCTTTAAAAGATGAGGCCCGGAGTTTCTTACTCCTAACCACAGAGTGCATATCTTTAGATTTAAATTTTTTTTTTTTACCAAGGACAAACTTCATATTCAAGGTGTCGTCAATGCTTTAGAACCGGTGTTTGGAAAATGGCAAATAACCATTTGGCACGGCACACTGTTCGTCACCTAGAACACATTAAAAATTAATATCAGCTCTCAGTCTGCATTATGAAATACAAATATCCTATTCAATTTCCATTCTGGCCACATATTAGCTGTGAATGGTGGGAATCCCTTTATTAAGTCCCACTCGAAGCATGCAGTTATAGATTTTTTTTATCTGTAATCGGTGACGATTTACTTACGTGGTTCACTCTTATGCAGTTGCGATAATTGATGTCAGCTTTTGCATACCTGTTGAAGTGATTGTGTACATTACAGCAGCTGCTAATAATCCCTGTTTTGTTTTGTTTTTGTTTTTTTCCTGAGGCTTAATCTAAACCTCCCTGCAGGTGGCTCCAAAAGATTAAAATCATGGTGTGGTTGTAATCTAAATGCAGCTGAACTGTACAATTGGTCTTGTCACAGATGTAAGATTCGCCAATAAATCCGGTTAAAGTGCAGGAACGCTGCACTGGCTTAACAGTGTTGCTTTATTTATTTAGGGAAGAACACTTGTTAAGATCAAGATCTCGTTTGCGAGTAAATCCCGAGCATGAAGATTATTGAGCGAGAAGATGGTTGGAGGGTAGATTTCATCACTACGTTCTCGTGACGAAAACGTGCCTTCGTCCTCTCCCTCCATCCCACTCTAGCACAAAAGGGTGTTTTTGGTTAAATATGTACGTCTCTTATGCGGCGCTCATATCTTTCATCAGACTGAGGGTTGTGCAAATTACATGCTATGTCTTCTAAACAAGTTTTAGTGTGAAAAGTCTGTCTTTATAGTGTTGGATGAGTGACTGGATGTGCTGAAGAAACAGACCCATTTTTATACTGAGGACAGACTCGGGCAGTGAACATGGAGTGAATAAATGTGGAGATTTTGTAAAAAAACAAAACCCCAAAAGAGAACGCACCTTATTTTTGTTGCATTTGAAGGGAAAGTAAAACGTAAAGTTAACTTTTTTCAGCTTTAAATCACATAATAATGCTACTCCCTCATTGAAAACATGCCTGGAGTGTTGCCTTCATGCTTTTGTACGTGTTTGAGAAATCGCAGTCATTCTGTGTCTAAAATACTCGCTCAGCCATTTCCTCACACGGCTCCACCAGACTAGCGGCAGCAGCAACTAGCAAACACCTGGTGGAACAGAAAAACCTCGCCTCCTTCAAGGAATGACGAGGAGTTTAAAACGTCTGTAGGAATAATTAGAATTCAACACGTTTTCTTTTGCAGTCTTTGTGTGTCTAAAACCTTTGAGCAAACATCATAAAGAATTGTGAGGTTTATGAAAGAAAATCACACGGTTGGAGCAAGCAAAGAAAATCAAAGCGGCAGTGCTGTAATCTGAATGCAGTGTACCTTGAAAGTGGAAAATGCACAACAAAAGAAATGAGGAAAACAAACGAGCAGGAACAGAAGATGGTAGTTGTGACTGAATTGTGAGAAATTTGTGCGTGAAATGTGGAAAATATACAAACAAAACCAACTTTAAACACATTAGTTTTTGTGGATGAAGTAAGGCAGTTAATGTTAAGTCGCTTTTAGCTGTGGACATACAGGCTCTGCTTGGAGCAGATTTGAAATAAACGGCACCCTTGTTCACTTCCAAATCCCTCCTTCGTGTGTTAAATTCTTCCTTTTGCAAAACACTGGGACCCGAGTTTAGCCTTAAAACCTTCCAGAGTAGCCTTGATGATCAAAGTGACGGGTAGGAAGATGTAATCGCAGAGCAGTAAGGAGATCACAGGATTTTGGACAGAAAGGACAGCATGAAGACAGGTCCATGGTTACACTCCTTTTATCTGGAGGAAGCACTGAAGCCATCTTTCATATTGAGAGATTTGTGCCTGATGTAAAGGTTGCATTACAATTTGCGCGTGTTCTGCAGCAAAAGCAGGACGACTGGAATGAAGGACTCGTAAGTCAAAGTCGTCTGGCGAGACACTCCTGTGTTTAATTGCACGAGTGCCCCGCATACCTGAGAGCTTCAGAGGGACACGGGTTTGTGATTAAGAAGATCACTTTGACATTAACTGCAGATCCATCATCCCGAACGGTGCGGCATGCAATACTCGACGGCCACCATTTCTACTCATGATTACTGATGAGTGAAAAACACGGTTTACTATTTTGGAGTGATTTTGGATTGCCGCTTCGTGGTGCAGGTAGAGATGAGTAACTTTTTTTTTTTTTTACCCTTTTACTAAAACGTGAAGACGCATTTCTTGGTTAAGTTCTGCCAAGCAGTGTTTGTTCAAAGAACTTTCAAAAAAGTAGCTTTGTCGCATACAGTGAAAGGGAAAAAAGGCTGGGGTTGAATAGATTTTTCAAAATCAGGGATTTTACTGGGAGAAAGGCTACCAGCTGTGTGAATAAAAGTCCTGGAAAATATCACAGGATTGAGTCGGCAGCGGGGTTAAAAAAATAAAAAATAAATTCTGTTTAAGCACAAATATTTTCCCTTGTATCTTTGAGTTGTTTACATTTCAGTGTATTATGATAAAAAAAAATTTCACCAGTGCTTGTTGGCAGATGACTGAGCATTTGTGGGTTCTATGATTCAGTTTGGTGTGAAACAATGTAAATTTAGCAGGTTTTTTTTTTTTCCTCTTAGCTGTTATAAGAGTGGTGTGTCATGATTCGTGTCGGTTTTATGGCATGATTTGAGTGGGCGTACCGAGGGTGGGCTGGTGAGTCGCGGTGACAGATTTTTCTGAGCTGTCCGCTCTAATGACTTATAACCTTCACCTTTTTAGTATAGTGTTCAGTGTTTAAATTGACATTTACAGTTCATCCACTATGTTTGTGACTCATCTGTGTGTCAGAGTGTGGACATATAGTGCTCAATCCATGTATTAGGTTTTTTTTTTCTTACTGCAAAATAACTGGCGGCCACTCAAAGAACCAAACGGCAGAAGTGAGGAGGTACAGCGCTTTGCAAAAGTAGTCAAGTCATTTTAACTTGTCCACTTTTTGTCGTGCTACAAACAACCACAAATTTCAATTAATATGTTGGGGGTTTTATGAGACAGACCAACACAAATAAATTACAAATAAAAGTATGAAATGTGGCATGATCTTGTAGTTGGACCCCCTAAATCAACTAGTTGTCCAGTTTTCTTTGGAAAATAGCTCATAAGTAAGGGCACAGGGGTGTAGTGCTCATCCATGTACTCAGCTCAGTCCTCGACAGACCTGTCCTGGGTTTGAGTCCCGGCCTGTAGGCCTTACACACATTTCTTCTCCCTCTCTCACTGTCAAATAAAGACTGGAGCTGAAAAAAGCTCATTGGTCACATTGGATGAGGAAAATCTGTGAGTTGTATTGCTGATTCTCAATTGGATTAAGTTTGGAAATTGACTGTGTCATTCAAACACATAAATAATAGGTGTCCACCGATGGCAGTTTTCTGGCCGATGCCAGTTTTTTGTCTGAAATGTTGCTCAATATATCAATAAAGTTGCTGAATTGGCAACAATGGGGTGACTATTGCTAATTGCAAATGTTGCAGACATGACCCGGTCGGCCGGTTTGTCAGTAAAACCTCTCTCGCGGGAAAAAACAAAAGCACAGTGACCTTTGCCGAGGTTGATAACATGGCCATGTTTTGGTAGGTTACCAGTCGTGTTGTACATTTTCAGATGATGACCTGAACGGAGCCCTGTGAGAAGTTCAGTGTTTGGGATATATCTCTATATAGCCTGACTCGGCTTTAAACGGGGTTTGGGTAGGCAGAAATGCACACTTCTAAGATTCTTTATAAAAAGCAAAAAAAAATTAAAATTTTTCTTCCACTTTTCTATTATGCACTACTTTGTGTTAGCCTATCATTAAATCCCAATAAGCTGTGCTGAAATTTGTGGTCGCTACATGCCAAGAAGTGTAAAAGTTAAAGGCCGTTTACTTTCACAGGACACTGGATGACCGCACTGCCCACCCAACAAGCCCCTGACATCTTCAACCAAAGAGATGTGGAAACTGGATTTGCTTTCTTTGTAATACTTTAGTGAGATGAAAACCAGTAAGAAATTGTTGTTTAAGCAGCACAATTTTTTTGTGTCTACTCCGTTTTTCTCTCTCTCTCTCTCCTTCTTTCTCTTTTAGACAAAACAATAGCAGCTGGATAAGTTGGGTGTCGAAATATTCTTTCAACACCAATCAACGACTCATACGGGCTGGAGCAACATGTCACACGGTTAACTTTCTCCCCCCCCCCCCCGTAAAAACCCGTGTTCTTATTCCGTATGCGGACCGCGTCCACCTCCTGTGATGGGTTTATAAATGCAGAGTCCGGGAGCATTTTCCTTTTCACGCCCGGCGAGTCTCTGCGTGAGGACGGCACCGACCGAGCATCTTCCTTTTCTGACGGAGAGAGGGAGAGGGAGGGAGATCGAGAGAGGGAAAGGAGGAGAAAGGACAGACCTCACCCGCACCTCAGTCTGCTCTGAACCTTTCTACCGGACCGCAGTGGATGGATCAACAGCGCAAGATGTGAAAAAAAAAGGGAGGCTTCTTTCTTCTTTTTTATTTTCGGCAGGCTGCAGAGTGTTTGATCACAGGAGCTTCTTCGCGCACAGAGAGGGATCAGCTGCCTCGCTTTTTCTCTCTGCGCTCTTCCCTCAACGGGGAAGTGGGATGCGGGTTACGCAGCATCACCGGCGCCGTCGTTGCAATCATCCTCACAGATACACCTTCCACTTCTTAAGGCCTATCAGATTGTGAGCCCGTGGAACAATAATAATAAAAACAACAACAACAACTCTTTAACCGGCGAGGAAAAAAGGGGGGGCTCATTTCTACTGGTGATAAAGAGAAGAGGGATATTTTTCAAACTCCTTCGGATGTGATTTCCCTCACCTGCCACCCGCTCTCTCTTCCCCCTCTTTCACCCCTCTGCTCTTATTTTCTGCCTCTGTCCCGTGAAAGCGGGAAAAAATCTTTTCATCCAAAAAAAAAAAAAAAGAGAGAGAGAGAGGGGGAGAGATTTCCCCGGACCGCTGTTGATCTTATCGCTATCGCATTTAATCTGTCCATTTCTCTGTCCGGAGAGTGTCGGTGGTGGAGGGGAGCTGCGTGAGATCCAGAGACCCGAGGAGGGGAAATTGAGTTACTCTGCAAATTACAGGCTTTTCTTGCGATTCAACGTGAGTTCTGCGGACCGAACCGCACAAACCCCGCGCCAAAGTGAGAGGGAAATTGATTTTTAAGTCGAGCAAAGAAGGCAGCAAAGGTGAGTCTTTTTTATTTTTTATTTTTTCATTTGGGATTGCGCGGAGTTTAAAAGAATGTCAGTTGCCTAAGATTGACTCGACGCAAATGAAGCGTTTTGGTAGACGTCGCTTATTCGTGCGGGATAAGTTTAATAGTTATTTACAGGGCAATTGCCAATTAATGGATGACTGAAGCTGTTGGTTTGTTGCCAGATTTGAACTGCTCGGATTGTTTGCTTATATCCGAGCGGCTACAGTTGTCTTGTTGTGCGGACTCTGGCCGTGCGCACATTGTTGCATGTTGGGCCGAATGGAAGCCGTCCTTTGCGCGGCAGCGACAGGAGAGCGCAAGTCATTAGTTGGAAGGAGGCAGAGAGGACGTCTTGGTCGTGACGGATGTTGGGAGGGCGCAGGCAGAAAGTGACACAGATCGGACTGTAAATTCATTTCGTGGGTGATGAGCAGCAGATGTGTGGCGCATGTTGATGTGACGCTCTGCGCACAGTTGGGAAAGTGCCCCCCCCCCCCCTCAAAACACAGATTCACAGGAGGTGTGTGTGCGTGCGTGTGTGTGTGTGGAGGGGGTATTGACTGGCGATGTTGTCATGAAGAGTGGAGGGAGGATATATTTTTGGCACCACCTTGTGGTTTGGTCTGCTCCTTTTATTTGCTGTGTTGGTGGCATCTACAGGTTACTGGTGTTATTTATAGCATGATGAGCGACAGACTCACATACAGTCATTATGATGTAACGGTATGTTTTTTTTCCCCATTAATCTCCCTTATATTTTTTTTCCACAATCAAATATACATTTTTACATTTTCTAATGTAAAAATTAGTGTGGATTCGTCTGTTTTGCTTTCCACTTTTGATTCCAGCAGTAATTCTATACTAATCCAAATGTCCTTGTTTGAAAATTTGTTTTGTTTGCTTCATATGTTGCAATGAGGAACATGGCTTTCATCCTTTGCTGTCTCCACCTGTTGAG